TGTACCATATGCATCATATGCAACAGATGTTCTGTGGAAGGCTTAACAACTTCTGTGGGTTAACAAGGCTTAACAACTTCTGTGGGTGTACGAACGTAGGCTTAACAACTTCTGTGGGTGTGTACTCCACGCCAGTGTAGTAGCCACGGTCGTCCGCAGGCCACGAAGTGAAGTGTCCGAACGTCATAGGGCGGGAAGCTGGGTGTGGGTGGTGGCGAAGAGTCGTGTGGATATTTGGTAGAGCTTGCACTGCCCCCCCACAAAGTGGGGGTATTGGCTGGCGTCGCATGAAAACCCTGGCACTGGTGAGAACACTGAGCGTTCGGGTAAAGTGATTGTTGTTGTTGTTGCTGTTGCTGTTGCTGTTGCTGTTGCTGCTGCTGTTGCTGTTGCTGTTGCTGCTGTTGTTGCTGTTGCCCTTTCATTTCTGAAGAAGAATTAGTGTTGATCCCCCCACCGGTGCATACTGCTTTTTCTCAATCAAACTGTGCCCCTCGACGCTCGCACCTTTTTTTTTTGACAGGGGCAGTCTTGACTCTCAAAAAACAGTGCCCCTGGCCCCCGGGTTACAACAACAACGGCTCCCGCGTTAGACCTCCTCACAATTTAGCCAGGACCCCCGCTCCCGCCCGAGACTTCCTCGCATTTTATTGAGGAATCGCGCTCTCGGTTGGGATTTCCTTCCAGTTTATTTAGGAATGGTTCCCCCGGCGCTCTCAAGCGCCGCGCTCCCGACACCCAGGCACCCAGGAGTCGCGCTCACGCTTAGGATTCCCTCACAGGTTACCTAGGAATCGGGATCTCGCTGCCCTTCGCGGCCCCGTTGCAGCCCTTCGTGGCCCCCTCGCTTTGTTTCGTGGCCCCGTTGCAGCCCCTCGTGGCCTCCTCGCTGCCCTTCGTGGCCCGTTGCAGCCCTTCGTGGCCCCCTCGCTTTGTTTCGTGGTCCCGTTGCAGCCCTTCGTGGCCCCCTCGCTGCCTTTCGTGCCTCCGTTGCAGCCCTTCGTGGCCCCGTTGCTGCCCTCAGTGGCCCCGTCATTGCCCTCCGCGGCCCAACATACGTATGCCTTTCGTGGCCCCCGCTCGTTCGCGCCCGTAGTGGCCCCCGCTCGTTCGCAGCCCTTCGTGGCCCCCTCGCTCCCCTTCGTGGCCCCGTTGCAGCCCTTCGTGGCCACCTCGCTGCCCTTCGTGGCCCCATATATGTATGCGCTTCGTGGCCCCCGCTCGTTCGCGCCCGTGCTGGCCCCATCTGCATGCCCTTCGTGACCCCGCTGTCGCCCTTCGTGGCCCCCTCGCTGCCCTTCGTGGCCCCGTTGCTGCCTTCAGTGGCCCCGTCCTTGCCCTCCGCGGCCCAACATACGTATGCCCTTCGTGGCCCCCGCTCGTTCGCGCCCGTTGTGGCCCCATGTGCATGCCCTTCGTGGCCCCGCTGTCGCCGTTTGTGGCCCCCTCATTGTCCTACGTTGCCCAGTTGCTACTCTCAGTGGCCCCATCGTTGCCTTCTGTGGCCCCACATTATCTGCCCTTCGTGGCCCCCCCTCGTTCGCGCTCTTCGTGGCCCCATACGCATTCCCTTCGTGTCCCCGCTGTCGCCCTTCGTGGCCTACTTCGTGTCCTTCGTGGCCCTGCTGTCGTTCTCTCTCGCTCTCGCTTTCGCTCGTCGTCGTCGCCGTCGTCGTCGTCGACGTCGTCCTCGTCGTCGTGGTCGGTCCCCTGTCCGTCCCTCTTGGGGTCGGGTCGACGGTTCGCAGTCGCCCCGCCGATCAGCGCTGCCGCTGGCCAGGCCGACGGTCCGCGGCCGCCCCGCCGCTTGCCGGGGCCCGGCCTGCAGGGAAGAAAGTTATACCCCCCAAAAGGGGTTCGATCGAAGACGAAGAAGTCGGGTATCGAGGTTTTGGGAAATACGCGTTATTGGACACTCGAGCAGATAAGGGCGAACAGTCTTGAAATGATTGTTGTTGTTGTTGTTGTTGTCGTTGCTGTCGTCGTCGTTAGTGTTGTTGTTGTTGTTGTTGTTGTTGTTGTTGTTGTCGTCGTGGATCGTCGTCGTCGTTGTTGTTGTTGTGATTATTGTGGTTGTTGTGGTTTCTATGTTTGTTTTGTTGTTGTGGCTGTTTACTGTTTGTTGCTTGCTGTTTGTTGCCTGTTGACTGCTGTTTGTTGTTTGTTGTCGTCGTCCCCCCCGTGGCCCACCCTCGACCCAGCCTCGGCCCACCCGCGACCCATCCCTGACACATCCCGCGACCCACCCACATTGCTTGAATGAAAAAACTGACGCCTGCGAAGAGTTCGTTGTTTGATTTGCAGGAGTTGAGCGCCTGCTGCGGTCTTTCTCAGAGCTTCGCAGGCTGCCGACGTCCCCGCCGCCCCCTCACTGTTATCCGCAACTGCGGGGTGCTACCTTATTTTCAGAAGTTGCACAGAATGAGGGCGGGTAGTTTTATACATGGGGCTCTCGCCTCGGCGTGGCGCACACTCGTCTGAACAAGTCCAACTATTACGCGGAGGGGGGCGGGTGGTTTTCAAGTGGGAGCTCTCGCCTTCATTACCTGTGCAGCTGTGTATATATATATATATATACATATATATATATGTATGTATGTTACCTCCTCTCGCAGAACACCTCCTCTCGCGTGTTACCTCTCCACATGTAAAAACTTTTGCAGCAGTCGCACGGATGAATGGCGGCTCCTTTCCAAAACAGGGTTCTCTTTAGAGACCGTGTTCGACATTATGGGAACAACTACAATCTGTGCGATGGTTGCACGGGGGAAGAACAGCCCTTTTTTTAAACGGTGCTGTCGCTAGGCAGTCGTTCTACTTGTTTGTGCCATTTTGTTCTTCAGTCTGTCACTCGAAGGCTGGATGGCAGTCTTGTTGTGGATGTCATCCCGCATGAATATTGCGGGCCCATGGGTGCGCTGGTCTCTTAAGGAGGGGCGCCTCACGCAGTGAAATAGATTACTCCTAGGCACCAGCGAGGGAAGATCTTGTGACGGAAGGGTGATTTGCAGTATCGTTGATGCATCGCGGGCTGGCCTTTGCTCTCCTCATCCCCCTCCGCCCGCCCCCGCTCCCCTCCCGTGAGATCTGGGCGCTTTCCCTGGGCCTCGCGCCCCGGGGCTCTCGCGGATCGATCTGGCTGCCGGAGGGCCGCAGGACGGTTGGGCGTAGGGCTTTCTGGTTGCGACCTTTTCACGATGTTGTAAGTTTTTCGCGACGGAGGACCTTCGTGTTTTCCCTTCTCCTTTACCTCCTCCCTTCTCCCTCCTCTCGGGTCGCACGCAAGGGTGGGCGGATGTGGGGGGGGGTGCGACATCTGCTGCATGCGGCTGGTTTCGGCCCCGCCGCGCGGCGGTTTTCTCGATACATTGGCGCTCCCGGCGCCGGGAGGCGCCGGGAAAACCAGCTGTATTAGCTGATTTGCTACTCCCCCTTCCTATCCTGAGATGCTTGCTTTGGAGACTTTCCACGGGCCCACCCAACGGATCTGCTGGCTTCTCGTTGCACTCCTCTGGGTCGACTCTCGTGCGACTCCGGTGCGACTCGAGTCCACTTACGTTCGACGCAGCGTCGACGCATGAGTGGAGCGAGTGATTCCAGCTGCTCCAGGAGGAGGAGGAGGAGGAGGAGGAGGAGGAGGAGGAGGAGGAGGAGGAGGAGGTCCTCCCCTCCTCCCTCTCGCCAGCCGGGGCTGGTGCAGCCGGCCACGGCGGTGCAGTCGGGCTGAGACTCTGCTCCGCCTCGCTGCGGTATGCTGCGCGCACGCGGCGCCACCGGCTTCTGTGAGCGCAGTGACCGAGGATGCGGGCAAGGGCGAGGTCGAGACGGCAGTGCCGCCCTACAGTCGGCCTTGATTGGACAGGACACGCGAGAGGACGCAAGACCCTTTCGAGGGCCACATCGCCACAGGAACGCAGGAGGCACGGGTCGCGAGACACAGGACACAAGGGTACCCTTGAGCTGGAAGGGTCGACCTACTAATCCGTGCCGACTGTAGACGCCGACTCCGTCTTCTCCGCCTTTCATCCCCTCGAGGTGGTGCACGAGCAGACCTGGCGCCTCGGGATGCAAACGCGGCGGCGTGGGCAGCCTTTCGCGCAGCGCCGCGCTGTGCTGGACGGAGCGGCCAGCCGCCAGCGCTGCGAGGCCAGCGAGGCAGTGGCTCGGCTGTTCGGCGAGACCGATGCCCTGCGGGGCGGTGCGGCGCTGGGCGCCCTCGGGCCCCCCACGGGGGATAACTGCCGTTCCGCTGGCGGCTGCTGCCCGTGGCGTGGATCCAGGCGGTCTCGCAGCCGCGCTGGACGGGCTCAGGAGGGCCCTCGCTGACATGGCAGCGGCGGCGCCCGCCGCGCCGCCGCCGCCGCCGACGGCCTCAGGGGGCCTCAGGCGGCGCCCGCCGCGCTGTTGGTCTACGTGGTCAGGGGGCGAGGCTTGTGTGCATGACCACGTCGTTTTCTGATTCCGATTCCGATTCCTATCTTGCCAGACTCTTGCCCCGGATTCTGCTGGGTCTGTGCCCTCCTCCTCTTCCTCCATGTTTCCTTACTCCTCCCTCTACCTCCTTCCTTTTCCGTCCCCTTTGTTGCACTTTGCGCCGTGTCGACGTGGCAGCGATCCCAGCGCGGGTGTCCAAGACTGAGCGCCGCCCCATACTGAACGATCTGCGGTATCTGGAAACGCCAATCGATCAATGTTGAGCGATCCACGCGGTGCCAGAAAGCACGGCCGAAGTCACGACACGAACTTGCCGTACACATTCGCGCATTGATCGCCGATAGGTGCCTGATGGCGCACCCCGTCTAGGAGCGTGTGGATTCGCGATCGGGGGCCGACCGCCGACTTATTGGTCATGCATCGCCGAAGCCAGCTCGTTGCTTCCCCCCCGGAGCAAGTACACCCCTGCCGGTCCCTATCAGAACCTCGTCTCTCCTCCTCATTGTGCTTTGCTCTCTGTCTCTCTTTTTCTGTCTCCTCCTTCCTCCGATGCTTGGCCCGGCCAGGTTTTCGGAGGCTGGCAACGAGATAAAAAACAAGGACGTGCTGCAGTCCTTTGGCATCTCGATGAGTTCCGTCACATGGAGAGAGGTGGTCCCCGACGGCCGCTCCGTGCTCCTCCTCCTCCTTCCTCCTCCTGCTCCCCTCCTCTTGTTCATCCTTTTTCTCCCTCTCGACCTGTGCACTTCCTCTCGCTTCTCCTACTGCCCCCCTTCCCTCTTCCCCCTTTCCCCATCTTCTCTGCTTCTCGCCCTCCCTCTCTACTGCCGCTGCTTCCTCTCTCCCCCGGCGCAAGTTACCCCATCGGCTTACGTCGATCCCAACAGCGTTAGGTTTGAAAACTGATTGGCGCTTGAAACAACGTAAGGTTGCCCTGCCGCGAAGACAACAAGGTACAACCACCATTGCGACCACAACAGACGAGCGAAGAGACTTTTATCAAGATGAACTACTCAGGAAATCATTATGTATCCCCTTACCCTCGTCCTTCGCCTTCTCGTGCTCGTCCTCATCTGCGTCTTCCTCCTCATACCCCCTTCTCCATTATGCCTCTTCCTGTCCGTCTTCTTCTCCCAGTCCCCATGCCCCTTCCTTTCCTGCTCCTTTAATCGGCCCTTCCATTCTCCCTTCATCTTCTATCCTCTTATTATTGATGTTCTTCTTCGTACTCTCTTTCCGCACTCTCTCTCTCTCTCACTCTCTGTCTCTGTCTCGCTGACGCTCTGCTGACCTGTCTCGGTCTGCCTGTCAGTCTATATGTCAATAGTTCTTTCTGTTTGTCTATCTAGCTATGCCAGTGTCTCTGCCTGTCTGTCTGCCTGTCTGCCTGTCTGTCTGTCCGCCTGTCTGTGCCTCTGTCAGTCGTTCGGTCTGCCTGTCTGTCTGTCTGTTACTCAGTTTCTCTCTCGCTCTCCCCCTCTCTCTTCCTCTTTTTCTCTCTCTTCCCTCTCTCCCGCTCTATCTCTCTCTGTACAGCCTGCTGCTCCCGTGCCTTGCCTCGGCCATGGCCCTGTGCCTGCCTCTGCTCCTTCCCGCCCCCTGTCTCCCTCGCTTCCTCCTCCTCAGCCTCCTCCTCTTCTTCTTCCTCCTCATCTTCCTCCTCCTCTTCTTCCTCCTCCTCTTCCTTCCTCACTTTCTTCACTTTCTTCTTCTCTTCGTCTTCTTCTTCTTCTTCTTTTCCCCCCTCGCCCTCTTATTTTATTATCTCACGGCCTTGGGCCCGTTCCGTCGCCGTGCCTGGCTTGTGGGTATGAATCTTATTTGATGTTCGCTGGGATCTCGGGGGAGGCTTCTCGGGGGCCTCTCGGAAGCAGTTCGGATGCCTCTTGTGGGCCGTCTGGGGGCCTCTTGGGCCCTCGTTTGGGACTCTCGGGGGCCTCTTGGGGCCTTTTGGGCGCCTCTTGGGGGGGCCTCTTGGGGGCCTCCTGGGCGCCTCTGGGGGCCTCCTGGGGGTCGGAAGGCTCAGATGTTCGGTTCGTCTTGTCCCTTTTGGGCGTCTTTCGGTGCCGTCCCGTCTTAGGGCGGTTTTGAGGGCCTCCAGGGCCGTCTGGAAGCGTCGGGAAGGCGAGAACCCCAAAGCCCTACAAACGCTGGCGAAACATAAATGACTTTGGCCTCTTGGGGCCCTAGAGGTCCCTGGAGGCTTATCTGGGCGTCTATGAGGCCTCCTGGGCCGTCTTTGGGCCATCTTGAGCGCCTTGGAGCGATCGTTCGGCGACTCAGGGCCCTCGTGGACCGTCTTGGGGGCTTCTTTGTGCCCTCTTGGCCCGTCCTGGGGCCCTCTTGGGTCCGAAGCAGTCATGCGACAAGACGCGGGGGAACCGCGGGCCGCCCCGGAAGCTTGGGCCCGGGGGGGCTCCGAACCCTTTTAGTAACTCCTCAGGAGCGAGGGCTGAGGCTCGGAGAGGCAGTGGAAGGACTTGAGGACACGCCCACTCCCTGCCCAGCGGCACGGTGGCGGATTCTTCTCCTCCTCCTCCTCCTCCTCCTCCTCCTCCTCCTCCTCCTCCTCCTCCTCCTCCGCTGGAGGCCGTCCGCGGCAGGCACATGGGGGGGGATCCCTGCCTCAGGTGGTGGTGAAGCTGCTGAACCACAACGCCCACCTGCCGCTGCAGAGGCCAGGGGCGGGGCTGCCCACGACCTGATCTCGACCCGATCCGACCCCCAGGCTGCGAGCTCTGGCCTCGATCCGATCCGATTCTGCACGAGCTGGCCCCCTCCACCCTGATATCCTGTCCTTGTGGAGACATCACGGCGGAGGGTCTTCGCTCGTGTTCGGCCTCGGGGGGTCCTCAGCGGGCCCCGGGACCGTCAAGAACCGGCTCGGGATGAAACGCTGGTCTTGGGGAAGGGTTCCAGACCTGTGAGGAGTCGGAGCCGCGTTGCGAACAAGTCGCGACGTGAGGCGTCTGGATCGTGAAACAAATCCGGAACACTCCGATTTAGATGCGGCTCCGCGCCGGTGCGAGCGCGGCCCGGTCCGCTTCCAGTGCAGCTCGGGCCTGCCAGGGGGGCGTCCGAGGAGTGAGCTTGGTCTGTTTCCCAGGCGGGGGGCGCGCGCGGCAAACGGAGGGGAGGCAGGGCGTCTGACGGGTGCGCGTGTGCGTGTGCGTGTGCGCGTGTGCGTGTGCGCGTGTGCGTGTGTGCGCGTGTGCGTGTGTGCGCGTGTGCGTGTGTGCATGTGTGCGCGTGTGTGTGTGTGTGTGTGTGTGTTTGCATCTCGAAGACGCTTGCGATGAACTGCCGCCGCCCCCTGCGTGTTGGAACCGTCTGTGCTGGGCATTGGGCCATCTGGCCAAAATCCTTGACTGAGTATTCCCCCAGTCGATGTGGAAATCTTCGGGGGAGCACATGGGGGGAAGGCGAGAGATACTATTAATACGACTAAGAAGCCGATGAATGCGAATACTATCGAATACGAATAATGCGACGACTACTACTGCTACTACTACTACTACTACGACTACTACTACTACTACTACTACTACTACTACTACTACTACCACCACACCACCACCACCACCACCACCACCACCACCACCACCACCACCACCACCACCACCACTACTACTACTACTACTACTACTACTACTACTACTACTACTACTACTACTACTACTACTACTACAACTACGACTACTACTACTACTACTACTACTACTACTACTACTACCACTGCTACTTCTTCTTATTCTTATTCTTCTTCTACTACTACTACTATTACGACTACAACTACTGTTGCCCCTACTACTACTACTACTACTACTACTACTACTACTACTTCTACTACTACTACTACTACTACTACTACTACTACTACTACTACTACTACTACTACGACTACTATTGTTAATGGTAGTAGTAAACGAATACTAACCACACTACTACCAGTAAGACGTTCACCACTGATACTGAATGATAATAATGCGACTGCTAATCATAATATGAAGTAGCAGGCTGATACGTATTTAAGTAACATTATTTATGCTCAAACTATTACAACTACCGAACCATTATATATACGAGGACTACTAGCAACACTCAACATGCTCATGACATGTACTACTATACTTTCAATGTGCATAAGAAGGCGAACCATCATACGACTAATAGCACGGGCAATCATAATCTGATGCATAACACCACGAATGATGTTGACAGGACTCGGGCAAAGTATAACAGACATAATAATAGGGGGAGGAGGAGGAGGAGGAGGAGGAGGAGGAGGAGGAGGAGGAGGAGGAGGCGGCCTCTTGGAGTCGCGTGGGGCCTCCTGGAAGCTTCCGGGGGCCTCTTGGGCCTCTGGGGGCCTCTTGTTGGGGTTCTCCTGGGCAGTTCCAGGGCCTTCTTGGCCCGTCGGGCGCCCTCGGAGGCCGCCATCAGTGCATTGCAGGGAAGGAGATGACATGGGCATCGTTGCGTGGACCGCGCGGGGCTGTGGCGCGCCAAGTGGGGGATGGATAGCGAGGCCGCATTTTGGCCCCTCAGAACCCAGATCCGAGACCTCGTGATTTTCCCCACGTCGCGCACCCTCTGGAGGTGTCGACCCCTTCCCCAGGAGCGGCTTCTCGTCCCGAGTCGTGTCTTGGCTGTCCCGAGACCCGGTGAGGTCCGACATCCTCGTCGTGTTTTGTCGCGACGCGGGGGGCCCCCAGAAGGCTCCCCCGCCCTCTCTCCCAGTGCTCCCTATCGGCAACGTATCGGTAAGTCGGGCCCGTCCCTCTACAGGAGGAATATTCAGAAATAGTAAAAAAATAGCCAGGGGACCATGTTATGATTTTTCAGTTGTTGCAATTTTGGAATATTTTTTGATTTTTCATTTTTTGTCAAAACTCCCCCTGTCGGGGGACACGCCCGACTTGAACGTATCGCCGATTCCAGGTCGACGTCTCCTCCCGAGTTGGTCCCCCACGACGTTGCCCCTGCAATCTGGGGAGAGAGGGCAGTCCTCGGCAGATTCGGGGCCCTCGAGGGGCCATGAGCTCTCACGCTGCCTGCGCTCACCCCTTGCTTGTGCCGCCGGGCTCGAGACCTGACATCTCTGCGCGCGTGTGGGTACGTTCTGCGCCATGTCGACGGCCCGCATTTTCCCAGCGCTGGCCTCGCAGCCCTGCTTTCGCACGACGGGTCGCGCACGGATCCCTGATTTTCGCAATCTTCACAGCGGCGGGGGGCGTGGATGCAGCTGAGAACACAGTCGGTGACTGCCCCCCCCCCTCCCCCCCGCCTACAGACGCATTCAGTATGTCGGCGAGCGCGTGAAGTGGTTCTTCATGCAGCAGAAGGACTCTCTCTCTCTATCCATCTCTCTCTCGCTCTCCCTCTCTATCCTTTCTTACCCTCCTGTTCATAGATGCTTACTGATCCTGAATCTGAGACCCTAGAGACTATGTCCCCCCCGACCGAAAACATGAACCTCCCAGATTCCTGACCCGTGGGGCCCTCTCGGACGCCCTTGCAGGGGGCTCCCTAGACCTTCCGGGCCTCCTCTGGACGCCCCCGGCCGGGCGGCCAAGCGACCCCGCGAGAGCCCCGAGCGGCCCCAGCCGCCCGAAGATGGCCCAAATGATACCCCCAAGAGGCCAAGACCTTCTGGAGGGGTTTTGCTTTCGTGTGCGATTTTTGGGTGCTGGGCTCGTCGGTCCTCTGGGCGTCCGAGACTGCCGCAGCTTCCCGAAAGCAGTCCCAGAACGACCCCGAAGGGAGCTGCAAGAAGACGGCCCAGTGGGGCCCAGAGGTGGCACGAAGAGAGCCCCATGGCGGCCCAAGATGGCTCCACGACGCGCCGCGAAGCACTCCAAGTCGAAGCCCCGTCGTTGAGGGAGCCCGTGGTTCGCAGCGAGGTGGTCTGAGGAAGCCCACGGATGCCCCCCGAAAAGCGCCCAGGAGGCTTCCAGAGGCCGCCAAGAAGCCCTTCGCAAGTTTTCGTGGGCCCCCCAAGAGGCTATCCCAGGAGGCACCTCTGCAACCAGAAAAACTGAGGAGGGCGGGGAAGGGTTTGTAGGGTAGGGCGAGGACGAGGAAGAGGAAGGGGAAATATGAGTGAAGGACAAGGGAACGCTTTCTTGTGACTACGGCGACGAAAACGGCACGAAGGCGCGGTGCATGGTGCGAAGCGTCATTGCAGTCTCTCTCTCTCTCTATTTCTCTTTCTCTTGCTCTGTCTCTTTCTCTTTCTGTCGTTCTTTCTTTCTCTTTCTCTCTCTGTATAACGTATGCATGTATGTTGATAGAATGAGGCTTACCAGAAAGGGTCTTGTCGTCGAGGGATCGAAAGAGTTGTCATCTCCCTCGGCGGAAGGCCGGCGGAGGGCGGCGGAAGCAGAATGAGGGTGGATCCGCAGGCAGACGTTGGCCAGGCAGACGTTGGCGGAAGGCTGGCGGTAGCCAGCGGACGTAAACTTTGTTCTCCAAGAGATGCATGCTTCGTTGTTGTGATCAAGGTTCCTGGCACCCGCCATCTATGTATGTTTACGTTTGGCTGTAGCAACACAGAATCATTCGCCGATGCATTGAAACGGATCCGCCCAACGAGGCCCGACCATGGAGGCGGAGTCGTGGGCGTCCAGGGACGGCCCAAGGCAACCCAACATGGCCCTGAGACAGCAGAAGAGGGCCAAATACGGCCCCAAGAGGCCCCGAAGAGATCCCCAAGACGGTCAAGTCGGGCCAAAGACATGCTGTTTTGAAAATGTGGGTCTCGACTCGCGCCACGCACATCGCACATGCTCGACTCGCGCCACGCCATTACACGGATGGAGGAGGGGATGTCAATATGCGGTCATCGCCCCGGCCCGGCGCCGCTCACATACGTTCTATACCGATGCACCAGTTGTAAGGAAGGCGCCCAGGTCGCTGTCAAAATGTCGCCCACGCCCTGGTGCCGACAGGCTCCCACGACGGCCTGGCGGGGCCCGAAGAGGATCCCCATCATGCCCCGAAGAGATACACATCATCGATTCCCAACATGATTTTGTACGATTTGCCAAACTCGCACTCCTTTTCTCGGTCCTCATAGCCTCCACGATGGCCCACGAGACCCCCAAGCTCGCTCCGATATGGCCCACAAGGCACCACAGAACGCCCCAAGAGGGGCCAATGAGGGGCCCAAGACGGCTGGAGAGGGGCCCACGATATCCCAAGAGGGCCCCAAGACGCCCCAAGAGGGCCCCTTGAGGGAGTCGAACAACCGTCCAAGACGGCCCAACAGGTCGCAACACTGGATTAGTAGGGCGACGGTCGTATCGTCAATATGTGCATTTGTACACAGATGTTCTGCACTCATAACTAATGTGTGTGTGTGTCTCTCTCTCTCTATGTTTGTTTCTAGCTCTCTCTCTCTCTCTCTTCCTGTCTCTATCGTTCTCGTAGTTTTTGTTGTTTCTCTCTCTCTCTCTCTTTCTAACTCTCTCTTTCTGTCTTCCACTCTCTCTCATTCTCTGTTTCTCTCTCTCTCTCTCTCTCTTTCGCTTTCTCCTGTCTCGTCCCTGTTACTAGACAAGACCATTCCCCTCTGAAAGTAAGAGCGTTTGCTCTCTCTCTCTCTCTCTTTGACACCTCGCCGGAGCTGCAGGTAAAATTATCCAGTAGGCCAGGCTTCAAATTCCTTCGGAATATTCATCTGCGCATGGCTCTCGACAAGATGCTACACACTTCCGCAGGATTGAGGTGCCAGCGGCGACAAGTGGTTGGCGAGAGCATCGGCGCTGCCAGATGCACGGCGTCTGCACACGCTTGGGGGTGAGGAGAGGTGTATTCATGTTGGGTGCGACCCGCGTGCGGAGATTTTTAACAGGGCATAAATCGGATCCGCTCGACAAAAACAGGACATATCCGCAACATCCCAAATTGGATCCGGGCGAAGGGATCTTTGATCAACCGCAGCACAAACCCAAACAGACTTCGGATCCGCACCTGCCTCCTTGGATCTGCCAAGGTTTCTTTCATTGCGCGCCGGGGCAAGAGCGGAAGGCATCATGTCGGGGCCCACGAGGAACATTTTCGCC